TTTTTATTACAAGTTTTTATTAATTATACTGACCCGCACCGGCTTCGCACGGTAGCAAAGTTGATACTAAATTTCTTCTTTATTTAATGGATGATATTACACATACAAACGTCACTCTTCAATCACTATTGCCCGGTTTCCGAAAGCCCGATCAATGTTAAAATCAACTTACTAGGTGTCAAATCTCTTGTCAAGTCATCTGATTGGTTGCTGATAATTCAGTCAAACAATCAGATGACTTGACAAGAGATTAAATTGATTTTAACATTGATCGGCCTCACGGAAACCGGGTGTATGTAAAAAGTAAGTAAGTGTAAAAAATATCGCATTAAAATCCGTTGCGTAGTTTTAAAGATTTAAGCGTACATATATAGGAACAGAGAAAGTGACTTTGTTTTATACTTTATTTTATACTATGAAGTAATGTTTTATGTTAGTGCATTGGAATGTTGCTATTTAATTTTAAGTAGATATCTTCATGACGACGGTGACACAAATGCTAAAGCATTGATTGTACTCTTATTTCTCTATAGTGTTTAATTCCGGAACTTATTGTTAACCATCTAAAAATGATTGTCTTGAAAAGGTGTTTGTTTAATTAAAACTTATTAAAATTATTTATTATTCCTTTCATTCCACTAAGGAGTAGGCAGAATTATATACAACTTACGTATAAAACCTACTATTCACTAGTCGATGTCAGTGTCAAATGAATGCACTCAACAAAAAGGCATCACATCATCATCATCATCACCAGCCTTTACAGGTGTCAACTGTTGATTATTTCTCCGCGTGCTCCAAGCTAGCTCATGGCGAATTAACGTTTTCTTAAAGTTGGTAGATATACAGTAGTTTTTCTTAGCGTACGTCAGGGATATCAATAATATTCTCAATGTCTGCTGTGCAATGAGTAGCGTTTCCCGCAGTTCGATTCCCGCACGGAACAATTTTTTGTGTGATCCACAAATTGTTGTTTCAGTGCTGGGTGTGATTTGTAAGTTTATGAAATTATATGTCTGTAAACGCATCCACGATACAGGAGAAAAGCCTATCGTGAAGAAAAGTTTTAAGAAAAAAGAAAATTACTTTACTATACCATTTCCTTAACTTTCTAAGCTGAACAGACCTACGCAAAACATCGCGAACTCAGCGATAAAATTCCATCCTACTTTTATATAAACTGCAAACAGAGCAGAGGTACAGTCGCGTACGCAAGTATGAACAAACTATGTAGTACATATGTGTACAGTCGCACCGTAAATCAAGAATCGAGCGTGCAATAACGTGCGAGGCACACCTTGACTTTGAACCTGGACTGTCGCGCGCAAAAGTGTTTTACAGAAAATATTTATTATTTGTTGAAAATAAAATTGTGTGGTTATTTTTATAATCGTTTATTTAATTTGTGTGTATGTATTTTTTATGTGATAGTAAGCAATCAGCGCCGCCCTTGGACACTTGCAACACAAGCGCGTTGCCCGGCAACGGACTACGCCTTTTGGGGATTAGAGTTTCGGAGATTTTGAGATTAGGGAAGGAAGGGATGGGAGAGGGAAGGATTGGGCCTCCGGTAACCTCACACGGCGAAACACAACGCTGTGGTGATTTCATGCCACTGTCTGTGAGGCCCTGGTATCACTCCGGTCGATCGGACAAATTCATCCAAACTAATATTATAAATGCGAAAGTAACTCTGTCTGCCTGTCTGTCTGTCTTTTCTTCACGCCTAAACTACAGAACCGATTTCGATTTTGGTACAGTCATAGTTTAGAACTCCAGAAAGGACATAGGATACTTTTTATAGCAAAAATCTGCAGAAAGTCACTATTCAGAGCGATAAGCAAATTAAGCGAGAAGAGAATTAAGAGCGATGTTATACTTTTTTGCCCTTAGCAATACAAAGTTTTTTTATAGATGGAAGAAGCTAATTACCTATTTGCCTTACTTGGCTTGCGTGGAGACGTAAACAAAGATATCTAATACTTTGCTAGTCATTCAAGTAAGTGCTTTATTCTCGGATGTGTTTTTCTAATATTCCTTTACTTAGACGCTATTAAATTAATAGCATGAAAGTTCAATAACTTCTTCAGAACACATTTCTTTTTAAAAGGTGGAAGAGTCCATAATATGTTCTACCTCTTTCCTAGGAAACATTAAACAATTATTTTGTTAATTTTAATAAATATGAGTTAAAGAGGACAATAAATGTGCTTCGGATCTCGTCACCTGATCGTAAGTGATGACTGCCGCTTATTGATACCCACAACGCCAGAGGATTTGCAGGAACGTTGCCAGCGTTTTTATGAAGGAGTACGCTAGTTTCTTGTAGGTTTGAAGATCATTAACACGCTCACTTCCTTATGAGGTGCGGGACTCAAAATCGCGTAAAAAGATTACCCCCTACATACAAACTTATAAATGTTACCTCTTTATAATATAAGTATACATTTAAATAAACCTTTATTTAACCACGAATGTACAGTACAAATTCTCATTACAAGAACCTGATATCCTCACCAAATCCAGTAATATTTCATCATTTCATTAACTTCTTTTCAATCCTCTCGCATCGATAAAGATTTATATATAAAAGCTTAAAATAACTAAACGCACGGACTAACGTACCTACACGTCCTGGCGTTAAATATTGCACATCGAATTTTGGAAAGAAATAGATAATTATTTTGTTTCATATTGCAGACATTGATTTGAACAAAGGATTTTTGAGAGTTTAGAATGAGACAATAGGCTACTTTCTCTCTTTCTAAATCTAAACCCCCTTCAAAAACTTCCTTAACCGTCAAAACGCCGGCAACGCATTCTTTACTTATTCTTCTACTATTTGTATTCCGTCTGATCGTTGGCCGGCCTTTTCAAGTACAGTCTGAGTCAACCAAAGAGATACAACGGCCTCACAGAACAAAAAAGTGATATAACACTTACGTCATGTATCGCCCAGTGAGTGAGGTTACCAGAGGTCCAATCCATTCTCCAATCCTCATTCCTCAAATACCTAATCTTCAAAAGGCCGGCAACGCACAGGTAACGTCTTTGGTGTTGCGGGTGTCCATACACGGCACTCATGCGTTAGTTTGCAACTAGTCAAATTCAATACATTTATCCAAATGTCAAAAACGATACTTTTCTATGAAAAACTGAGTTATGACGTCATAGTATTTTTGCGTCAAATAGCTTACTTATTTCTCAATAATTAGCTACAAAATATCTAAAACTTAGTGTATCGATCGATCGATGAATGAAAGTATAATTATTTTTCAATATTTTATTGTATTAAAACGTCGAATTAATTTATTGTTGACCTATGAAACTACCCAATTACATGTGCCCTTCATTTGCCGTCCGATCCAATATGTGCAATATTTATGGCCAGGTACTGTAAATCTGAACGATGTATCATTTTAATTTTGCGCATAACTGTACACAGTCGGCGGTATTCCGAGAAGCAAAAGTAAGAGCCAAGCAATTTGGCATGTATGTATATATGGATGGATGTTTGTATGGATGTTTGTATGGATGTTTGTGTTCCGTGCCCAAAAACTGAACGCAGTTAGTCAGTTGCGTTTATGTTTAATTGTTTCTGTGTAAGGTGACGGACAGACGGACTGGCGTTTCTTTTCGTGAATGTTGTCACTTTTGTAGAAGTTTCATCGTTTAAAGATATTGTGTGGAGAGGCCCTTTTTTCTTTTTTCGTTGTTTGCCTGAAAAATATTTACTTTTCGTAGCCGTGGTGGCCGTGGTAGGGTGTGGGTTCGAAACCTGGCAAGTACCAATGTGACTTTTTCCAAGTTATATGCACTTTCTATGGTTATTTAGACACCATTGACATAAGGTGAAGGTAAACGTCGCGAGGAAACTTGAATTTATAATTTCTAATTATAAGTTTGAAATCGCCAACCCGCATTGAGCAAGCGTGACCTTCTTCGCGTGAGAAGTGGGCACTTATAGGCTGATGATCACAGTCACTGTCTTATACAAACATTCTGACCCGACAGCATCATAATTATCCCTGGGATGACTTTTATCTAACCAATGAAAAATCACTGTTACAATGTTACAATTTTTTTTTTTTTTTAGTAAATTTTTCTGAAATTGGCAGGTACCTACGCTTTGACGTAAAAATATTATGACGTCAAATTTTGCAATCTCATTCAAAATTAAAACAAAAGTAGGTATTTTCATGATTTTCCCTTCACAGAAAAATTGATCCGTAGTAAATAAGTAAGTACTTACAAGATCTTTTAACTGACAGGAATAATCCAAGTGGTGTATTTTTCAACATTACACGAACACAATTGAATGTATCACATTCATTGGAACCGAATCATTGTATAGATACCTGGTTACTTTATATATATTATATTTATATTCACATCCTATTGTATTTAATTGTAATCATATCACGATTACGTCACACGTTTTTTCTAAATGTTAGCAGCCATTGATTTCGACTAATTTTACTAGCTTCAGTCAGTTCACCCGTGTTATCTATAAAAAAATGAGTCTGTGCAGCTATAGATTCCATCTATAGCTGAGTCAAATATCATTCGAATGCGTTCAGTAGTTTTTGAGTGGAAGATTTACAAACATACACATTTACCTATAAACATCACGCTACGATCAAATACAGCTGAGCAGTGGGTGAAACCGCGCAAGGGTAGCCAGTCTGTAATAATGATAATATTATGTTATGTAATATATACATAACTTTGGTCACCTGCCACACTCATATCAGCATTAAACGGAGGTCGAAAGCTAGACAACGACTTTTTTTGACGGAGAAATAACCAAATGACTTCTCTGGCCCTGCAAGAGAGGAAGTGTCTCTGACTCTTACTGACTTAAAACCCCCGGTTCTTCTGATCCAAGCCGAGGCCGCGGTACCATATTGCGCTTAGGTACCCCCTAAACTAAACATTTTAACCCTATTGGGCCGAATCTGTGGTGGTCAAATGGCTCTTTGTGGCGCGGCGGAACGTACGCCCGCCGTAAGCTTCGGTCTGGTTCTGGTCGGGCAGTGTGCTACCCTTGCTCACCATTATATAGTTCCCCCCTATCGCTCCGCACCATGGCCTCGACTAAGGCCGGACGCGAGAAGTCGCCGCCGCCAATCACTTTCTTGAGGACATAGCATAGCAGCAGGGCACACTGCCACCATATGCTTCACCGTGTCCTCTGAGTGGTCCGGTCAACCGGTCAAACTGAATCACACATGTAAATATACTCATTATACTACATTTAATTACCACATTATTTTTACTCATAATATTCATCAATCTTAAATCACTTTCATACAACAATACCGAATATGAAAATAAAATAATATAAATTTACCGCGTTACCGCGGCTTTTTTTTTTATTGATTATAGGAAAATAGAAAGCAAGCGTTGTTTCACGCTCGTCATTAGAACAATAGAGCACTACTGACGGGACCCTACAGAGCCGATGTTCAACCGGGGTCACGGGGCAAGCGGTTACCGCGGCCTGTCCTTAAGCAGCAGAAGGAACGAAGCGGTTTTTAGTCAGTAAGAGTCAGAGAGAGAACACTCTCTCTCGCGTCACCCTGGTCAAGAAAGGGGATTTTATGATTACCCCTCACAAAAAAAAGCGTTGTTTCACGTCGTTTTGTGCGGACGTTGTATCACTCCAGACGGGCTGACTACATCCGTGTCGAAGCATGGCTCTCAAAGTTTACACAAAAACAAAACACAATCTATCTATACATATTGTATGTTGATAGGAACACATCCAGGATACATTTTACTAACACAATAAACAAACTAAGTAAAAGCACCCATTTAGGTCGCAGTAAGTTCAACAAAAATCACCATTTAGATCTTGTCCTTTCTCCAATCTCCAATCAATATGGATGAGTCTGTGATCTGTGTTTCTAAGCTAAACTTTTACTACTTAAGCAAATACACTTGACGTCTACCATCTTAACTGAAAGTAGGTACATCCCACCTACTTTCTTCCTTTGATGATTCTAAGAACACTCAGTGATTTGAATTGATCAATTGTGTTGTCTATGTGGATGGGTGGTTGCTTTTGTTACTTGTTACGACTATTTTGCGAATTGTTGACCAAATTTTCAATTTAATACGAAACTATTGGCAGAAATTTTGATTGCTTATTTTTATTTCTCTAAGCTAGTATTTTACCCAGCTAAAAAAAAAGATCATGTGTCACAAACATACCGAATAACAATTTGTGAATAACACTAAGAGTGGTTCCGTGCGGGAAGCGAACCCGCGAGACGTTGCAAAACAGCTGGTTTCTCAGCCACCGTACCAAAATCAACATACTATAGGTGCTCACTGCTCAGGAAAAACCTCTTATCACACTAAGAAGCACTACACTAATGAAGTCCTCCTCCATAAAACTTGCTTTAAAAAAAATTGTATCATATATATTTTGATAATAAAGTTACCTTATTAAATAGGAATTCGACTCATTTGACGAAAGGAAGAATAAGAAATATCCTTAAGCTGTAATTAAATTTGGTGTTTATTAATTCAGATGAACAAAACAGAAAGGACTGTTTTAACTTCCAACATGACTACTATCTATAAATACTAATATGATAAAGAGGAAAGATTTGATCGTCTGTTTGTTTGAATTAAACAGGCCCTAAAACTACTTAACCGATTCAAAAAAGTCTTTTACACTTAGGAAGCTACTAAATCGACTAAGCTACAGTGATCAAACATAAACTATTAACGACGCGAGTAAAATCACAAGACAAAGCTAATCGATACTAATATTATAAAGAGGTAAAATTTGTAAGTTTGTATGTTTGTAAGTTTGTATGTAGGGGGTAATCTTTGGAACCACTGGTCGGATTGCCAAATTTTTTTCACTGATAGATAGCTACAATGTTCCTGAGTGCTATAGGCTATAAAATAAAACATCACGCTACGATTTGGAAAATGGAGCCGAGCAGCGAGAGAGAAGCTAGTATTAAATAAATATCTAATTATTCGAAGGTACAAATACGGCCCTGGAGTGGGCAACGCTCCTTCGCTTAGAATAAAAAGATGTTCCTCTATTTATAGCAAGTAGCTTTCGCGCACTTAGTTAAATCTATAAATAGCCTAGCTTTTATATTAGCCACTGAATTACTGCCTAGTACTTAGATAAAGCTGGATTGAGGATAAAGAAGATTTATATAATTACCGTAGTTTCAATCTATACTTATACTAGCGAATCGCTCCGGCATCGCACGTGTGCATTGGTGATTCGAAATGTCTAGAAAGAAAGAAAAGAAAGAAAGAAAGAAAGAAATTTGGCATGAACAATTAGGAAAAAAAAGCAAAGATATGTACAATAATTACAATAAAAAAAGGTAAACAACAAACTAATACAACAATGTTAGCTTAGGAACTAAAATAATATTTAAAAAAAAAGTCTAGTCGAGATTTAATAAATATTGTTATCACACGGTGACACATAACACTGGTTGTTTCATGAAGGTTTTCCGTAAGGCCGTGGTATCACTACCGAAAATCTCTGCCATAAAAATCAACAACTCAGAAATGTGTCCTTTTCCGACTTACTGATATTTTTTTTTTATTATTTGAATAGGTCAGCTGGTCCGCAGACAAAGAAAGCCTCACAGAAAACCTTTGTAGCACGGTAGGTCCTGGTCAAATGTGGACCAGCACCCTTAAGCATCAAAAGCAGACGTCCTAAGCTTCGGACCACCATGATTGTAATGTCGCTGTAATAATGTACATGTATTACAACAAAAAATGAATACTATTTATCAGATTATAACGAAGAATGGATTTATATTTAGGAATGTGCCTTCAACCAATTGTCTTTTGTTTCTTATTATTTGAATTACATTCCATTGTTTCCATCCACGTAGCGTGATGTTCTATAGCACTAAGGAACATAGTAGCTATCTATCAGTGAAAGAATTTTGGCAATCCGACCAGCAGTTCCAAAGATTACCCCCTGCATACAAACTTACAAACGAACAAATTTTACCTCTTTATAATATAAGTATAGATAACGAATTATTTACGTGAATTAATCGAGACAGGCTCTTATAGTTTCGAGTCACAACGGGAGTCTAGGGATTGAATGAGCTGATGAACAAGAGTCTTACGATCGAATAAGCTACAGACGGGACCCTATAGGCCTGATGTTCAGCCAGGGTTGCGGGTCTAGCGCAATGAGTCACCGCGACCCCGGCCCAAAGCAGGAGAAAGTACAGTTTTTAGTCAGTAAGAGTCTGACACTCTCTCTCACCTTACCCTGGGCGGGAGAAGTCATTTGATGATTTTCTACTGACAAACAAAAAGGATCGAATTAGGCGATGGATAAGAGCTGCTCTGAAAAAGGAAGATTAGAATGTCCAGAAAGAATAAAGGACCGATAAATTCGTTATAATTTATTGTTTGTGTCTTTGGATTGTACCGGGTTCGAAACTACTTACTTGAACAATTTGAAAAATTCCTTTTGTGTTAGAAATTACCCTGTAGGTACCCCTACGCGTCTGTAACCGCGTGGCTCAGCTAACAGCTGTTTGGGTATTATAGTGTTACTTTTTAAATATTAACTAGAAAAAAAGAAAATTAAGGAGAATGGAGTATAGATATCGTCAAAAGAATTTCTTACCTTTAAAAAAATATGGATTTGAAAATTTTAATCGCAATTCATTTTAGACTCGGGAATCTAATTTAAAAACACAATATTCGCCCTAATAGCGTCTAAATCCGAAGAAACAAGAGGAAGAACGGAGTCGGTGTTAGTCCATAAGAGTCTGACACTCCTTTACGCTCCAGGGCAGAAGAAGACACTTGACGAGGATACCCCCTCAAAAAAAGGAAGAATACCTTCTGTGATCAATTTTAAAAAGTGGGTATAATACCTCCCAATCGTTATATCCATTAAAGATTATTATTTTACGATTTGACCGATAACGGTGTTCAAGTATTACTGAACCTAAAGTTATAAATCTCAGAACGCGACATAAAACTCACAACGACACATTGCCATTGACCGAACGCGAGGTTACAAGTTCAAGTTCAAGAGTCTCAGTGAAAATGGTAGTTGGTATACATCATTTACTTATTTATCATAAAAGGGAATTTAAAAAACAATCCATTTTGGTAAACTGGTCCAATAATAAAAAAAAATTAAATGTATTATTTTTATGTCATATATGTATTATGTCGGCAAACCAGCAGAGGGATTGACTGATGGTAAGCGGACGGATTAGGGATTTGGATATTTTGGGTTTTGCGAGTGATTAGGGGAGGGGAAGGATTGGGCCTCCGGTAACATGACTCACATGCGAAACACAACGCTGTGGTAGGTTCACGCCGGTTTTCTGTGAGGCCATGGTATTACTCCAGCCGAGCCGACCCATTCAATTTTCAATTTTTAATTTTGTCGTTGAAGAAAATAAAAATTTAAGTTTAAATTTAGAAGTGAAATGTCGCTACGTCATCCCTCAATATAAAATGTACTGAATCATGACGTCAAGAATATTTGATTAGGCACGTAAGAAAATTAAAAGAACATACTATGTGATGTTTAAAATTATAACATTTAATAAAACATTAAACCAATTTTAAGCTTGAGAAATGATCAATATTAAAAACAATTAATTTTTTACTGCATTAAAAACTTTATAAGCTCCGCCTTAGCTTCACATAAGTATGTGTGATGCTGATACCAAATTTCTCCGATGCGATGATACATATAAAATTACTCTACCTAATAAAAAAAACTGCATCAAAATCCGTTACGTTAGTTTTAAAGATTGTACATAGTGATATAGGGACAAATAAAGCGACTTCGTTTTATACTATGTAGTGACACTACATACATATTATTATATATACGTATTTGTAAGAAACTAAATATTCAAAAAGGAATAAAACACGCCACGTATTCGCACCGTTTGTCTGATGCAACCTTTATGAACAATTCTCAAAATCGCTCGTCTCTTTCTTTTTTGACATCCCATACCTACACGGAACGAGTACAATTTAGAGTTCGGGAGGAGATTTAATCAATTTGCTCG